TAGATGAACTCTAGATAGAGCAAAGGGGAGGTAGGGAAAGGGAAGGGACATGGGGGTAGGAAAGACAGTGGAATAAGATGTACATCATTACCCTAAGTGCCTGTATGAATACATAAATGGTATGACTGTACTTTGTGTACAACCAGAGACATGAAAAAATGTGCTCTAAATGTGTAATGTGAATTTTAATACATTCTGATGTCATACATTAAAAATTAGAATAAAAAATTTAAAAATTATATATATATATAAAATACATTTTCTTAAAAGGACAACAGAATTTTGAAATGTTTAAAACATTTGTAAAATTTCTAATAAAGAACTGGTATTTAAGAATAAAAAGAAATGTAAGCATGTCCCAAACTCAATATTGAGTATGTACTGTATTTTTAAAACCATTCTCGATGCTTGTTTTCTGTTATTGAATTTTCAGAAAAAGCCTTGAGATACTGATTATTATTCCCTCTTATAGAAATAAGGAAATAAAATTTCAGAAAATTGAGTTCCTCAATCTTGTAATTTTTGGTAACAAAAACCTGCTGTGTCAGAAACAAGCTATTGGAACAGAAATGAACAGGACTGTGAAATTTTTATCATGTTCATATGCAAAGGAAAAAAGAAATATTGACTCTAAGAGTTAATTTTGAGATACAGCTATTACATAACAAGGATAGATATGGCCATCACCTACCAATGATTGTGCCTATGCTAGGCTCTAGGCTCTTTGAAAACTATAATTTGTCTTTTTCATCTTTGCCCCTTCTTTTCTGTCCTTTCTTGTCATCCTTCTGAAAAAGTTCAGCTCAATACCCAGTAGAGTGCACCCTCTTGTGAATACTCTTGGGGGAGAAGAATGACAGAATGAATGAATGATGGTGGAACAGTCTTTTTATTTTTACTTTTTAGTAGTTACAGAGAGAAGAATAACTATCTAGAGGGTGAGAATTAGAGACTGTGAATAAAATTAGAGCTCAAAAAAATCAACAGCTGGATTTAGCAAATATGAAAGGCAGAAACTATGATTAATAATGTAGAGACGGCTGCTTAGAGCCCAGTTGAACAAGTTAATAGAGAAGTTCACTGATAGGTAGTGGAGTCGGAGAGGAGATTGCGGGGCAAGTTACCCAAAAGAACCACACACTGGTGCTCTGCAGGCAGCCTGAGGAACTGGTTTTTATTCACCAGCCTTTCAAACAACTCTGTGAGGTGACAGCACAGAACCCCTTTCAACAGTGAATCAACTGAAGCTCAGAGACCTTAAATAACCTGCCCTGAGTCACACAGCCAATTAGTGGCCCAGGTGAGATTTAGTAACATCTGGCAACTCCAGTATCCCAGGGACCAGATGGCAGGGGAGAGAAGGCTGTAGGGTCCCTGGATACTGCAGGGGAACCCTGGGAACAAACAAATAAAGCTCCTTCCTTGTTTCAGAATAAATAAAGCTGAGATCAAGGAAGGCCAGGTTTGGACTGAAGCAAGACCTCACATACAAAGACAAAGCTAACAGAGAATAAATATTGGTATTAAGCATCTGCTCTGTGCTGAGGACTGGGAAGAGATGGATCTGTTTCCATCTGGCTGAAGAGGGGAAGCTCTAAAAGTTCTCACTATGTGTCCACATAGAACAAGTACTGCTGTACCTTGAGATTCTTTTAAATGCCAGGAAAATGAGTAGAGCTCTTCAAATGGCATGCACGCACCAGATACACACGACTCTTTCAGACACAGATGGCAGTCCAGAGAGCCTGAAAGAATGCTGAGTATTTGCCTATTTTGTTAACAAAACTCCACAAGAAAAGTTTCACTGCAAAAGGACGACCTTCAGGCCTCTTTCTTGATTCTACTTGACCATGTCCTGGCCACAGCTGACTGGACAGGGGCGAACAACTCACAATGTGGCCCAGAATAAAGATAGGGCTGAGACCTTCTCTTGGGAATGTGAATGGAGAAATATATGCTGAAAATCCTCCTTCATGAGGTACAGAAAGGAAAAAATTTCTCAAGAAATTTCTTTCAAGAATTCTCCTGCTGTACACCCAGTGGATATGGCAGCTTTGCCCCTGATTCTACAGTTCAGCCACCTCCACCTGGGGCTAGGGTGGCCAGTGTATCTTGCACGTAGTTTAAGGGGTTGGTGAGCAGTTCACACTGTACGCTTGTCCCAACAACTTTCCTAATTCAAGCTGCCCTTTTGCATCCATGAACTCTCCAAACTCTCTCACCTCCCCCCCAATAAATTCTAGTCTTCCTCTTAAGAGATGTTGCATGTGGACATGGGATAAGGCTCCAAAGACCAGTTTGCTCACTGCTTAGGGCTGAAGGGAGAATGAATGTGCTCCTTCTCCTTAAAGATTTGGGGATGCATAATACCGGTTAGCTTCAGTTTTGAGGCTTTAGCAAAAGTTCTGAGAAAACAGGGAAACTCCCAATCAGCGACTTTGGCCTAAAGACAGGAACTGAGTCAGCAGGTGGAGAAGCTAGAACACTGAGGGCCCACCAAGTGCAAGTCCTGGTTGTAAAGGAGCACTGAAGAAGGCCAAAAGGAAGAGTACTGAATTCAATTCTAGTCTGGCCATTTCCTAGGGTGTAACTTGGAATGAGATTAGGCCCTTTCTAACCTCAATTTCTTCATCTGTAAAATGGGGGAAATGAGCTGGGTACGGGGGCGCACTCCTGCAGTCCCAGCAGCTCAGGAGGCTGAGACAGGAGAATCACCAGTTCAAAGGCAGCCTCAGCAACATCGAGGCACTAAGCAACTCAGTGGGACCCTGTCTCTACATAAAAAAAAAAATACAAAATCAGGCTGGGGATGTGGCTCAGTGGTCAAGTGCCCCTGAGTTCAATGCCCGGGACCAAAACTAAAATAAAATGGGGGAAATGATATATGTGTTGTCATTGGGTTGTTGTTGGAATTAATGCAGATAATTTTTGCACAGCCTTTAGTACCATGCCTAGTGCATAGTAAGTGTTCAATAAATGACAATTAGTACACGTGAGCAAAAACTATGTACTGGAAGGAAGAGCTCTGGGGAGTCCCATTGCATAGGCAGTGATGTGAAAGTGCTCCACATGCCGGTGCAATGTAACCCTGCTCAAATGACTCTGAGAAGACTATTAGAGAAGAGACAGAGACAGATGATGAGGGAGGGAAAGGCATCATTGAGCCATGAAAGAATGAAAGAGATCAATTCCTAGAGTTGACAGCTAACAGCTTCCAGTTACAGCTGTTCTTTTATTTCAAGCTTATAATTGACAAAACAAAACAAAAACGCATTAGCAACTACTTGTGGCAGCTTGAGTGAGTGTTCTAAAAAAAAGGGTAACTAAAACAATGAATGTGCCTCCTGGAATGTTCCATTCCTCCCAGGAAATCTCCCTGGACAGTCTGGAGAATAGCCATTGTCTCCATTTAGATCTAATAGAAACAAGAACTCAGGAGACCTCTCCATCTGATGCCTGAACTGTTCTTGAGGTCAAACTGAAAAAATCTTCCAAGGAAATAAGAAAAGGAAGGAACAATTATTTCCTAACCAAAAGGTCATTGAAGACATCTGTGGTACCTGTTACATTGCCTGAGTAACAGAACGAACGCCAAGTTACTTCAGAGGTGGACATTGTTCATTGTTCTCTATGCTATTCGCAGCAGCTCCAATATGGACTTTTCTAAGAATAATGACACTCAACTGTCCAGGAGGCTCCACTATAACAATGTAGATAGGATAGATTTCCATTTACATAGTTAAGAGAATAAATACTGCAAATAAGAAATAGCAAACAAACACATGGAAATTTTCTTTCTGGATGTAAGTTGGCATGGCTTTATGACAAATACCTTGCTAGCAGTTCCTTGTGGTAGATTTCTTACAAAGATGGATGCATCTGTCCTTTGCAATGTGACCTTGCCATTCCTCCCATTAGCAGGTGGAGGCTACCTCCCTTCTACTTGACTCTTTGGGGTTATGGTGACTACATTGACTAACAGACTGGGGCAGAAGTGAATCTGGGATATCTTCAAGCATCTGCCTTAAGATGCTTCCCTTTCTGTCATCTTGCAATTCTGAGACTTCCATGTTTGGAAGCCTTCCTTAGCCTCTTTGAGGATTTGAGTCCACAAGAAGAGAAAGGCCTAGCTAACAGCCAGCATCAGTTGTCATGTGATTTGAGTCATTGTTGGACAATCCACGTGTAACCAGGTCATCAGATGACTATATCTGCAGGTGACCCCAGGCATGAGCAGCATCAGAAGAATCACCCAAATGAACTTAGCCCACGTTGCCAACTCACAGAATTGTTAGCAGTGGAATAGTGTGTTTAAGTCACAAAATTGTGGGCATTTTGTTATATGGAAATGGATAATTGATATAAGGATTTCAACTTTCCTCATTGTGAGCAGGTTCTCTTTAAACTGTGTAGTGGGAAGAGGACAGAGGCTATTAATATAACTCATCAGTTATAGCACTGGAGAAACTGCAGTGTCATGGGGTTATCTGTTTAGAAACTTGGTATCATGGAAAACATTTTATTGTTTAGCAACATGAAGTGTACAGTTGGCCTCTGTTCTGTGTCCTAAGACTAGAAGCAAATGGCATTTCACTTGCCCTGGGGACTAGGTTTGAAGTGTACAAAACTTTGCTCATGGGGATGCCCACCAGGGTTGCAGGACAGTGAACTTCCTCTGAAGCCCAGTATCACACAGGATGGACCTTATTTGCATGTACCAGCAGCAGCATTGCAGAGGGGAGTTTCCCTTTTCTTTCCCTTCTGCCAACTCTTGCAGTTAATTGAGAATTCTGTGACTTTTCCAGCTGGAGGATATTACACAGAAACACACATCTGAGTAATAATGGACACCAGCTGTTGTCAGAGAGACAGTAATGATTTTTTAAATGAATAAAAAGCTTATCAAAGCAAATGTAAAATTGGTTAATCCAAGGAAGTCCAAGCACAAAAATAAAACCTCATATGATGACTCTGTACACACAAAGAGACCACGTCCCAAGTGTACACTCGACTGCCTGCTCTGTCCTGTTCTTTGTTACTGAATAACTACAGCAGAATACAGCTGCTCCTTACCCAGCTCATTTTCTTCAGAGGCTGAGAAGAATGCGCTCCATGCTACCCATACACAATAGAAAAATGTGACATAGTGAAATAAATATCCTGTTGCTCTTTTGTTTTCTTTTTCCATCTTTCTCTCAGTCATCCTCCTATAGGGAAAAAAAAGTTCTGCCCCTGAGTACAGCAGCTACGTGGAGAAAAGTACTTTAAACACTCATGGATTTAGGAGAAAGGAATCTAAGGATCCCCCCAAATTCTGCAAATGCCCACACTGCTTGGCTATGGGCTGCTTAGCACCTGTTTTGGCTTCTGAGGACCTCAGCCATGGGAAAAATCAGGTACTGTGCCTCTGGGGACTATTTTTGGTTAGTTTGTGTTGCCACACAAAGGTTTCTGCTTTTGCAATAGGGATGAAACACGGATATGAAAGCCATCATTTTTCAGCTTTGAAATTGCACGAGTTCCATTTTTGTTTTTAAGCGACCTTTAGATCAAGTATCCAAAATTCTAGTTAGCCTATGGGAGGGAGTGTTAAGAGGTTATATTCTCCCTGAATTCAAAACAATGAAATGTTATATTCAAAATGACTTTAACAACTAAAGAGTGTCATAAAATATAACATCTCATTTATTTATTAACTTTTAAATAAGACTTTGAAAGAGTAATATTTCATGAACAAATAAATTCAATTGTAAGGAATGATATTAAAGAAAATGCTTCATACATGGTGGATTTTCATTTTGTATTTCAAAATTGTAGAGAAATGTGTGGCTCACCTAAAGTAGAAAATGAAAATTTTAGTGTAAAGTGTCTCTCTAAGGAAGTTTTGTACCAGTTCCAAGACATTAATTAAAAATATATCTGCATTTCACAGATGTTGGACCAGGCCCTTCTTAACTTTGATGTTTACAGTTGCAAAAGGGATCTTGTTTATATCTCCTCAGAAGGATTCAATCTCGTGCAAAAGGATTTGATCTCCTTGGGAAAAGGTGAAATCAACAGAAATTCAAAATATGTTTTTCTTTTTATCCATGTCTCACAGGACTCAAAAGAATTTTACCTCAAAAAATATTTACCTCGGTTACTATTCTAGCAATCTTTGTAATTTGCTTTAGTGTATAAAAAATATATCCAACATTTATGTTTTAAGAAATAGCTCCCAGGGCAGGGGTTGTGGCTGAGTGGTAGAGCACTTGCCTAGCATATAAATAAATAAAATAAAAGTCCACTGACAACAACAACAACAAAATTAAACAAAACAGAAAAAAAAAAACCTCCCATGGTGTGCTTTTGCTAATTAGTGCAAGATTGTCATGTTCTAGATTAGAGTCTAGTAGCTCAGGTCAACAGAGGTCATTCAGAAGGCCCCTCTCATGCCTGCCTCCTCCCTATCCCAAATAAATCATTTGACCTACATTACATAGTTTGGCTCCATGGATTTGTGAAACTATTCAAATACTTAAGTATATATATATATATATAAATTTTTTTTCTTTTTTATTATTAGTTGTTCAAAACATTGCAAAGCTCTTGACATATCATATTTCATACATTTGATTCAAGCGGATTATGAACTCCCATTTTTACCCCATATACGTATTGCAGAATCACATCGGTTACACATCCACGTTTTTACATATTGCGATACTGTGTATGTATGTTGTATTCTGCTGCCTCTCCTATCCTCTGCTATCCCCCCTTAAGTATATATTTTTAACATTAAAATATTTAATTAGCATCATATTTGTACATATTTGTAGAATATAGGATAACTTGATACGATGTAAAATGATCAAATCAGGGCAACTAGAATTTTCATTTCCTCAAACATTTATATTTTAACGTACTGGCAGCCTTCAGGCTCTTCTTTTCTAGCCATTTAGAAATATATCATAAATGGATGTAGGCTAGAGACACTCCTCCTAGGCTATGGAACAACAGGAAAAATAGAACCAGTTCCTCCTGGCTCTATTTTGGTAGCCATTACCTATCTTTTCTCTATTTCCACTCTCCTCTACTATTCCTAAACTGTGTTTTTATACTAATAATGGCAATGGCATTAGTAGGACATTATCCTGAAGGTCCTTGTGCATCAAGCCTGACATCTAGGCTGTTGAGTCCCCATCTCATGTGATTATGCATCCAAGAAGCTGTAAGTGGGAAAGAGCTAGCAAAGGGCTGGGTTCCACAGAGTTCAGCCTCAGAATAGGATCCAAACCCTTTTTTTTTTCTGATGTGTGGAAAGTAAACTGATATTTCTCTTCATTATTTCTATTCTTAGTTATTTCCATTTTATTGTATACTTAATGGGGTTACTCAGTGAATGTATTTATTTTTAAATACAGCCTCCTGGGGTGATGAGAAGTGCACTGCTCTAGGATACAGGAGACTTACAATCTGGTTGTGTCTACTGTGCATTCTTGCAGAAATAAAATAAAAACAGCTGCTACTTATTAAAGGCTTACTCTGCTAAGAATTTACAGAGTAGTTTATGAGTTTTATTTTAATATTTTCTTATTAAGGAAGTAGGGGCCTAATCCAATATAATGGAGGTTTGGGCCTAATTTTTCTTCTATTATATGCAGGGTCTCTGGTTTAATTCCTAGATTCTTGGTCTACTTTGTGTTGATTTTTTGTGCATGGTGAGAGGTAGGTGTTTAATTTCATTTTGTTGCATATGGATTTCCAGTTTTTCCAACACCACTTGGAAAAAGAGGCTATCTTTTCTCCGATATATGTTTTTGGCACCTTTGTCTAATATAAGATAACTGTGATTATGTGGGTCAGTCTCTGTGTCCTCTATTCTGTACCACTGGTCTACCAGTCTATTTTGGTGCCAATACCACGGTGGTTTTGTTACTATTGCTCTGTAATATAGTTTAAGGACACAGACACATTAATGTTTATTGCAGCACAATTCATAATAGTTAAACTATGGAACCAACCTAGATGCCCCTCAGTAGATGAATGGATAAAGAAAATGTGGTATATATACATGATGGAATATCACTCAGCAATAAAAGGGAATAAAATCATGACATTTGCAGGTAAATGGATGGAGTTGGAGAATAAGTGAGGTTAGCTAATCCCCCAAACCAAATGCTGAATGTTTTCTCTGATATAGGGAGGCTAATTCATAGTGGGGTTGGGACAGGGAGCAAGGGAAGATTAGAGGATCTCTAGATAGGGCAAAGGGGAGGGAGAGAAGAAAGGGGGCATGGGGGTAAAAAAGATGGTGGAATGAGATGAATTACCCTAAGTACCTATATGAATACGAAAGAAAGAAAGAAAGAAAGAAAGAAAGAAAGAAAGAAAGAAAGAAAGAAAGAAAGAAAGAAAGAGAGAAAGAAAGAAAAAAGTAAGTCTGTTCCTACCTCCTACAGTGGGTTCCAGGGTTGGCAGTTCTAGTTCTAGGGACAAGTCTTATCTCTAACGCTTGCTTGCCATGCTTGGACTGGGGAAGATAGATAATTCTCTTTCCTATTTGCCACACAGGAAGAATACTATTTAATACAGAGAGTATTGCAAGTATTAAAATGGCATCATATACACAGGGTTTTCCATGTACTAGTCTCTAAATAGAATTTAGTTCCTTCACTTTACAGCTTCCCTGAACCTCATTTTCCTTCTCTGTATATTAAAGAGGCGCAGGGGGCCATAAAAACATCACAGTATACTTGACTTACACTTTAGAAAATTAAGAGCTAGACAAAAGACCTACTCCAAATCCCAGCCACTGAGTTGTTTGTACTTTCTGAACACCAGTTTTTGTTTAGTTATTGGAATGAGACTTAGAGCTAATTTGATCAAATTATCAAGAATCCAGATAATCTAGATTCTGGATAATTAGTAAAACTGCAGTTTCTGTATTTTATTTGTTTGGGGGTTTTGGTCTAATTCACCTAACATACATTTATTGCACATTTACAATTGTGTGAAGGGTCCTTTTAGTTGTTATCTGAAATATATAGTTGTTGGTCTGATATATCCTTCTCTGGGCTTTGAATAGCTCTCTGCTTCTCATCTTTCAGATCTAAGCTCAAGTATGATCTCCTGGAGAGGCGGTCACTGGCAGGTTTCCACCACCCGTAGCCCCCAGATACTTTCCATCATGTCATCTTCTGCATCTTATTCAAGACACTTAACAAAATCCTTAATTATCTAGTTTATAATTTACTTGTTTGTCATTTCTCTGGCTATACTACAATATAAATACCAAAAATGAATCTCGTCTGAATTTGCTATTTGTGGTATATCCAGCCCTAAGCCAGAACCCGAAATACAATAAGTTCAAAATAAATATTGGTTTAATGACTGTCTTGTTAAATAGGAAGTTAGCACGTAACCCAACAATTCTATGTCTAAATATATATAAAGAAATTAAAAGAAGATATGCCCACATAAACATATGTACATGAATGTTCACAATGGCCAAAAAAGTGGAAACAATCCAAATGTTCATCAGTCCATGAACTGATAATGAAAATGTGATACACATCTGTATATGTATAGTGTATATGTACACATAAAATTTAACATTAACTCAAGTTTAAATTACATGTATACACACACACACACACACACACACACACACTCTCAGAAGGAAATTATTATTCAACCATGAGAAGGAAAGATGTACATGCTATAACATGGATGAAACCTAAGACATTATGCAATGTGATTAAAAACCAGACACAACATGACATGACATACATGATTCCACATAGATGACATATGCAGAAAAGACAAACACATGGAGACAGAAAGTAGATTACCTGTTGCCAGGGCTGGGTGAAGGAGAAGGGTAGTGACTACTAGTGGGTGTGGATTTCTTTGGAGGATGATGCAAATGCTTTGGAATTAGTGGTGTTGATTAACATCATTTGGGGACTATGCCCAAATCTCTGAATTGTATACTCTACAAGAGAGAACTTTATGGAAGTGAATCATGCCTCAAGAAATTCAATAGAGCAAGATAAAGAAGGAGGGTTGAAATATAACTCACTGCAAATTAAAATAGACAAATTTCTCTTAGCTATTCTGCCATGTTGCAAAAGCTGTTGGGCTCATTCATGATTTTACTTAGAAATAGGTTTTAGAAATACTTCTGTTTGATTTTTGCATAACACTAAGTCTTCTGTAGCTAATTTTAAATAAAAAGAAAAATACCCTTAGATTTTGTTACTTCTTGTCTTGCCTTCCCAATGCCTGGCCCTGTGGCCCTTGTCCAACCACATCTCTTGGTGTGACTCGTTTCTCTTTGTGAAAGAGGTGGCGGACCTGTCCCTTGCCCCCTGATGGAATGCTGAGAACCCAGTTCACAAAGTAACTTCATGGCATTTTACAACTCCAAATGCTTTAGAAATACAAGTTAATAATAGGAATCCTTCTTTCCTTTAATTGACTTTAATGGGATAAGCAGACCTAATCCCTAATGGCTTTCTAAATTCAGAATGTAATTATTAGTGGGAGGTTAACTCAGATTTAAATGTTATTATTCCATAGTAGATGGATATAAACAACAATTAACTTTTGAATTGCATGAACCAAAATTCTGGCTAAGTATTAATGCAACTAAAATCAGAACTGATAAAATGCATAGCTCCCTCAGAGGAGAAATCTATGTATAGGCTAGAATTGATGGAATTTTTTTGATGACCAATTCTAATATATCAGTTCACAAGGTCCATGTATAATAGTCAAAGTTTAATGATGTGTAAATCCATAATAAATGGTGAATTTATAAATCACTGCTAAGTTCTCAAATTAAGACATTCTTAGTCTCTTCCCTCCCTACCTGTTCCAGCCTGTCTCTCTACATAGGAGTGAACGACACCTCATTTACTTTTTCTTGTACTCATTTGCACTCCCTTGTATTTTTTTTCGAGCACTGAGATAGTTTGTGTCATCAATTTTGCCATTATTGCATATTTTTGTTTCACAGTACCAGATGCTTGACCTTTGGGGAACAAAGTTTGTGTTGTTTTCATATGCAAGTCTCCATCATTCCAAGTAAAAACTGGAACATAGACATTTAATAAATGAATGAAACCACAAATGCACGTTGCTGGTAAATTTCTATATGAGTACAGGATAGGAACAACCACAAGGAGTTGATGGAATTGGACTGCTGAGACCACAGGCTTTAAGACCCACTGAGAAACTTGCAAGAATAGGCTTGAAATGGGAAACATATTAGAAGTTGAGGTTCTTGGCATAAAAGAATCAAAGCAAGTTGCTGCCCACTTTTGGTCCATGCTGGCTACACCTGCCTTTCCCCAAGCTTTCCTCCTTACCACTTTCTTACCCCTCTTCTCATTTGACTTTCTGACCTTATTTTTCTTCAAAGCAATTATCAATGTTTATTCTAATTGTCTCCATTTATTTTTCTGTTGCTATAATAAAATGCTTGAGACTGGAGAATTTATAAAGGAAGGAGGTTTATTTTGGCTCATAGTTCTGGAGTCTGGGAATTCCAAGAGCATAGAACCAACAAGAACCTTGTGCTGCTTCAACTTAAGGATGAATGTGGAATGGCAAACAGGTGTGTGCAGAAGAGCCAAAACATGAAGAATGGATTTGCTTTGTAACAACCAATTCTTGGGGTAACCAATACAGTCTGATGAGAGAAAGAACTCACTACTTCTGTGAAATGACTTTAATTCCTTTGTGGAGCCATTCTTCTTAAAGGTCCTATCATGTCTTAATACTATTGCATTGGGAACCAAGTCTCAATATGAATGTTGGTGTGGATAAATCATGTTCAAACTGTAGCATTAGTAATCAATCTTATTAATTTGTTTATTATCTGTCTCTTTTTCACTCTGCCAGGATCTAAACTCTGATTTGATGTAGTCTGTTTTCCCCTGACTTAGACAATACATAGTGTATGCTAGAAAAAAGATTTATGCTAGAAATAGACCTTGGAAATAGTAGCTGTTCAACAACTATGGAAGAAAGAAAGGAGCGTGGGAATGGAAGAATAAAGAATGAAAGAGAAGACCAATCTAAGAAAGAAAGGAAGGTATTGTAAGGTTTTTTTAATGACTTTTAATATATTCAAGTAAATTTCTGTCTCACAGATTTGTTTTGTTTGGTTCACAATGTTTTACAAAATTAAAAATATGGCAATTTCCGATTAAAATGGGGTTATAATCTTCTAAACAATCAGATCTGTTAGGCTAGGTCTTAACTTCCAAACCATGTCAATCAGGCAGATCTGAATGGGCAGCTTAATGGGGACATGGGCTAGAGGATTTTAAAGTTGGAATGGAAGTTGGAATCTTTCCTGGATTTTCTGAATGGCCTGGAGAACCTCATTGTGGATGTATAATAGAGAAAGTCTTTAAGATAATTTAGTCTAATGCAAATTCATATATTCCATGAGGTTCCAAAGAAAAGGAAGGCTCAGGTCTTAAAGTCCCACTTCATTTAAACCAGAGATCCCTGAAACTTACTTGAGAGGGGTAATATGGCTAGACATTCTATATTGATTGTGCCGCCCCAGGTACTGTGTGCAAAGCACCCTAAATCCTGTAGTCTCTGGTGAGGGTACAAATGTCAGGGCATATCCTCTCATTGGAGTGACAGAGTCATGAAGCCCATCTAGCTCTAACCTTTTCTTAAACCATGATCCATCACCCCTACATACCTGCTCGTTTATCCAGCAACTACTTATTGAGCATCTAAGAGCCACGTCCAATGCTAGGGACTCTGTACCTGATTTTGAAGAAGTCCATGTGATCCTCCAACTCACAGACCTTACAGTATTTTCAGGGAGCACTGAAATCACAAGAAACTCTTGAAAACACAGCATAGAACTAACTTAGTCTAGTCTCTGAAACTACAGATTTAGTTCAGCATATAGATAATATGCAAACATACAAAGATTTTTTTTTCCTGAACTGTTTAGGATAAGTTCTGGGAAAAAATAAGCAATTATTTATTTTTACAAGATAGAAACAAAAATGTCTTTAGAATCATAATTATATTTTGAAAAATTTAGATCTAACTCTTGGAAGGCCATCCTACCTCCTCAAATTATATATTCAAATATACCATAGTATTTTGACTTAAATATCTAGGCCCACTCCTTTGTCACACTTACCTATACTACTGATAGCTTTAATTTTTTGATGTATGGGGTATTCAAAAATTGTATATATACCCGCCACCCCCCCACATGCATATGCAGGTGTGTGGTGCTGGGAATTGAACCCAAGGCTTAATGTATGCTAAGCACATGCTCTACCACTAAACTACACACCAGCTGTAAAATAGCATATTTTTGTGGTAATATATACAATGTGCCATTTTAAACATTTTAAATACACAGTTCAGTGATATTTAAGTATAGTCATGCAATTATGTGAACATCACCATCACCCATGTTCAGAAGTTTTTATCATCCCAAAATGAAACTCTGTACCCATTAAATATGAACTCCCCATGTCCCCCTATCCTAGCCCCCGCAACCACTATTCTACTTTCTATTTCTATGAATTTGGTACTGTTTTAGGTACCTCGTTTAAGTGTAATTGCCGGGTTTCAGTTAGCGACTAAAATGCTCAGGGGTCACTCCAGTTAAACTGGGCAAATTGGGCTGCACGAAATAACCACACAAGAGACACAAATACCTTTTTCTTTGGGGTCGCTGTGACGGCTCCTCTGACCTTAAGGGTCCGCAGAAAGAGAGAGTGAGAGCACGCGCTGACCCCTTTTATTGAGGAGAAGCTATTCAAATGAGGCAAGGGGTCAGGTTTCAGGGGGCTGAGTCTATCTTCATGATGTCCACTCTCAGCACGTTGACTGACAGCTGGGTAGGCCACCCCCAAGGGCACAGTAAGAGAAGGGGACACACACAAGGCACTTCCATGGAAGATTCTATCCTAAACAGGGCAAGGGGTTATATTACAAAGGAACAGGTGAGCGTAGTTTCACCTATGGGGCTGTAGCAAGGCACACCCATGCACAAGACACTGACCCTCGCACCCAAGAAGGGTAGGGAAAGCTCTGCCACATTTCTGCAACTGAGTGCCTCAGCACCCAGCCTGGGAGTGTGACCCAGTCATGTGCAAGGTTGGTCTTCCACATGTAATTATACAATATTTTCCTTTAATGTCTAGTTTATTTTGCTTAGCATATGGTTCTCAACTGTCATCCAGGTTGGAGCATATGTCAGAAGGTTTTTTTTTTGTTGTTGTTGTTTTTAAGGATGAATAACATTCCACTGCAAGTACACACTCCATTTTGTTAGTCCATTCATCCATCCACAGGCACTTGGGTTGCTTCACTTTTTGGCTATGGTGAACAGTGCTGCGATGAACAAGGATGTATAAATATGACTGCTATGTTGATGTGGTGCTCTCAGTCTCATCAAATGCTTTTGAATCAGTTTTTTTTTTCTTTTTGTAGGTAAAAAATCCAGTTTTTGGCAAAGTTAAATCACTTTTCAATTTAGGGGTAGTTTCTTACTCTTGGTCTGGAGTTATCATTTTCTTGAAATGTCTTATACCCTTTGTCCCAATGACTCTTTACCAGCTAATGGGATACCAACGCAAAACTATTTTTGTTGGATGCAATTTGAGGTCAGACACGGTTACTTCTACATGCTAAGAGAAATCTGTAGGCCCATAATTTGGGGGAGAACAATTTTTTAAAATTTTTCCTTTAGGTTTTAGTTTCAGCTGTTTCTTTCTCCAAGAAAATGATGATTAGGCTAACTAAACCAAATTTAGTCTCTCCCCCTCCCCCAATAAACCGTTTATGATAAAGTTCAAACTAGTATATGTTAGAAGCCAGGAAACCACAACTATAGCCAAAAGAAATCTTCATTACTCATTGCCTCAAATTGTACCCGATATGATTTCAGATGCTATTTTCTGATAACGGTCTTCAGTAAATTCCAGAGATGTCAACACTGTGTTTGAACAGAAAGTTTGAAAAGTTGAAAGGTCCTCAGATGAACTTTGAAGGAGGAGAGTGAGGCCCTGTGGGTGGGTGTGGCTGGGTCAGCTCAGCTGTGTGTCCATGAAGCTCTTATCAAGTGGAGCCATGATTTTTATGTCAGCCCATTTACACTTGAGCATTTTTTTCTCAGCTGAATTCATATTTATTTATGTTGATAATATTAAGCAAGAATTTTAGACTGGCGATATTTATGATAGTCCTCAGTTTCTGTTTAAAGAATTAAACTTTTCTAGATGTTACAATTTATTCAATTATTGAAACCTTTCTAATTCCACATAAGTAAGGAAATATCCCAAGTCTTGTGCTTTGCCTGACTTACTTTCTTTCTGCCTTAGCTGGCTGATCTTGTCAGGTGCAGACCCTTGATGATGTGCAGCTTTTTCTTTGGTAGCTTAACAAAGGTCTCACGGTCCTTTCAGGTGGCAGGACACCAAGTAAAGGATTTGTGCAGTCTTGATGATGTTGCCTCTTTGGTAAGGTTGCCAAATATAGCAAAGAAAAATGTAGGCTACCTATTTAAAATTGAATTTCAGATAAACAACAAATACTTTATAAAAACATTTAGTGGGTGTCTTTAATTTATCCACTTGCACTGTACCTTACTCTTGAATGCAGGGAGCATGGCTCAGATGCCAGTACTAGTGTGATGAAGTTTGAACTTGGTGACACAGAGGGACCAAAATTGGAAGCCAGACTGTAATGATGGGATTACAAGATAAGAGGTAATGAGGACTGTTTTAGTTAGCTTTTTCACTGCTGTGACTAAAAGGACCCATCCAGAACAAATGTAGAGGGAAGTTGATTTATAGGGCTCACAACTTTGGAGGTCTTAGTTCTCAAAAGGCCGGTTCCATTTCTTGGGGCTCAAGGTAAGGCTGAACAACATGGCAGAAGGGTATGGCAGAGGGGAGCAGCTCACAAGGTGATCAGAAAGCAGAGAGAGAGAATCCACTCTCCAGATACAAATATCTACCCAAAGCCACGCCTCAATTCCCACCTCCTCCAACCACACCCTACCACTTCAATTACCACTTAGGTAATCCCTATTAGGGGATTAAATCACTGATTGGGTTAAGACTCTTACAACACAATCATTTCTCCTCTGAACCTTCTTGCATTGTCTCACACATGAACTTTTGGGGGATACCCCATCTAAACCATAACAAAGATTTTCCGCTGAACTTGTGGCTCCCCTTTGGAAGCAGATCCTGATAAAGTTTATTTTTGCAAGTGATCAACTCAACAGGCAGGTTTTGTGAGACCAATCAAAAGAAGAGGGAGTAACATTAAATTTTGTTAATCCTCAGAATTGTGGGATGCATAGGGACTTCACTATGGAGTGCATTGTGTACGGAAGAGCAAAGAAGACAGAAATGGGGAGAGAAGAGGGATATGACCTCCCAGAAAGAAAAAAAAATCGGATTATATTCTAATATACATATAGGCCCAAAATTCCTCACATTGACAGTAATTATTTCTTGCCCAACCCCAAACTGTTTGAATTTCCCAGTGTAGAGTCATTATGTTTTTATTAATTTAATTATGCATAGGTACTCTACAGTATATATTTCATAGCACAAGGGAGGAAGACAGGCTCTTTCAGATGTCATCTGGACCCTTACAGAGTTTGAAGCTTTTTCTAAAGGGAAACTAGAGACCCCTGATTGCAAACTCTCTTGAATGAAGAGTTTAGCTTCTGTTTTATTTGCCTAAATGTAATTCTGTGGCACCTGCTCCTCCTCTAATTTTAGTGATTCACAAAGTCTGACTCTGAAGAGAGCCTGGAAACTTCTACTGGGAAGGGAGGTGTCCAAGTGCTTCCTCTACGAGAAAGAGAAGTAACAACGGTGGGTATTAGTTTGATTCATCCTACTCCCTCCACAAATACAGCACAAGGATCTCTTTAGCTACGATGATCCTTTCCAGTGAACACTCAGGACCTGAGGGGAGAAACTGCCAAAAGTTGAACCCATAGTAATTTCTCAACTTCATATTTCCAGTCCACTGTCTTTCCTGAAGTTGTCACTGGAGGTTCTTCTCATCCTGCCCATTTCCTATTTGTGATCCCTTAGTTACCACATGTAATACTCCACTAAACAAAGATTTAGTATTACACTCATTCAATGATTTTTTTTTTGTAATTGTTGAGAGTTTTTGGTGTCAGTGAGAAAAAAATAAATTAATAGAAGAGGTTCCACACCAATAGTGTATTTTATTTGAGGTTTTCTCTGCAAAATATGGAATTGCACTGTCTTTGGATTTGGTG